CTCATATCAACCTTATTAACAACATATCTGAAACTTGCCCTTTCCTACATCATCCTCATACTCTGTCATACTCAAGCCCATTGTGGTAATGACTGTGTCAATCCATCTTGTTGAGGCTTTTCCTCTTTTTGTCTTTCCTAGAATAATGTACCCTCCAAGGATTGGTTCCTCCTGAAAATATACTCAAAGTAAGTGAAATGAAGTTTCACTAGCCTTGCCTCTTAGGAAGACTGTGGTTGTACTTTCATCTGTTTCATCATTCCTCTCCTCCTTCTCTGTCTTCCCTCAACCCTGATGTCAGTCCCATTTTATAACAGTGGCCCTGTGCAATATTTGTCCTTTTGTGACTGAGGTATTTCACTCAGCATAATGTCCTCCAGGGTCATTCATTTTGCATAATATTTCATGAGTTCCTTGTTTTTCAATGTTGCATAATATTCCATTGTGTGAATATACCAGAGCTTCTCAATCCATTCATTTGTTGATGGGCATTTAGGTTGTTTCCAGCTCTTTGCTATTGCGAACAAAGCTGCAATAAACATGGGTGTGCATATATATGCTTGGGTGGCAGTTATGGTTTCTTTAGGGTAAATTCCCAGAAACGGAATTGCTGGGTCAAATTCTATTTCTATTCACAACTTTTTGAAAAAGCACCATCCAGCCTTCCATAGTGGTTGCACCATTTTACACTCCCACCAACAGTGAATAAGGGTTCCAGTTTCTCCACAACCTTGCCAGCATTTGATGTTTGCTGTTCTGTTAAATTTTGCTATTCTGACTGGGGTGAAATGATAACTCATAGTTGTTTTGATTTGCCTCTCTCTTAGAGCTAGGGATTTTGAACATTTCTTCATGTGCTTATTTGCCATGTGAATGTCTTCTTTGGTGAAGTGTCTATTCATATCCTGTGCCCATTTTTCAATTGGGTTATTTACCTTTATGTTGTTGTGGTGCTCGAGTATTTTATAAATTCTAGATATAAGTCCCTTGTCTGACATGTCATTACCAAATATTTTTTTCCCAGTCTGTGGCTCCCCTTTTTACCCTGTTGGAGAAGTTTTTGGATGTGCATAGGGATTTGACACTTAGAAGGTCCCATTCATCTATTTTGTCCTCTCCTGGTTGTAGAATATATGCATTATATTTCATGCACGTACAGTTTGCATTATGCAGATGACACAACGCTGCTTGCTGAAACTGAAGAGGACCTGAATAGCTTGCTGCAGAGGGTCAAGGACTGCAGCATCCAATATGGATTGAAGCTCAATATCAAGGAAACAAAGATTCTCACCACTGGGCCTGTTGGCAGCATCATGATAGATGGTGAAGAGATGGAGATTATTCACAGCTTTAGTTTGCTTGGCTCCACAGTCAACACTGTTGGCACCAGTAACCGGGAAATTAAAAGACGAATTTGATTGGGAAAGTCTGCTATCAGAGACCTCTCCAAAGTACTGAAGAGCAATGATATCAATCTAGAGACTTAAGGTGCACTTGATACAGGCCATAGTCTTTGCAGTCACTTGCTGTGCATCTGAAAGCTGGACAATGACTAGGGATGATAGAAGGAGAATTGATGCCTTTAAGCTGCGGTGTTGGAGAAGAGTATTGAATATACTGTGGACTTCTAAGAAAACGAACATGTTTGTCCTCAAGAGGGTGAAACCAGGCTGCTCCTTGGAGGCAAGGATTCTGAAGCTTCATCTGACATACTCTGGACGTGCTGCAAGGAGGGACCAGTCCTTGGAGAAAGGATGTCATGCTTGGGAGGGTGGAGGGACAGCACAGGAGCGGAAGACCCTCTATGAGGTGTATTGATTCAATGACTGGGGTTATAGGGTAGGTGTGTCAGAGACAGTGAGATTGGCACGGGATAGAGCAGGGTTTAGGGCTGTTGTACATAGGGTCGCTCTGAGTCGCAGGCAACTCAGCAGCACTTAACAACAACAACAACAAATTGTGTTTTATACAATCTTGCATTTGTGTTGTGTTTTTTTTGTGTTTATTACAGCTTTCCCCCTTTTACAATCATCTTACTAATAACTATTTTCCTGAGAGTGTTTAAGCCAGTTATTTCATGCCTTAATATCCCCATTTTAGATAGCCAATTTCTGATTTGCCACCCCTGTCAACCTGGTACTCTGAGGGAACCAGCATGTTCCCTTTGCTGAAGCATCTTCTGTTTAGTTTGGAAACTTTGAGCACCTGCATGCATAAGCAAAGTCCAGTCAGCAGGTTGCAGCAATCAGCACAAACTCATGGTACAGATCATCTTCTCTTCGTTTGATTGGGTGCTGGTCAACTCATCCCCAGCCATCCATTGTTGTTGTTTGGTGCCATCGAGTCAAGTACAACCCATAGTGACCCTATGAACAACAGATTTGAACCTTGTCTTATCCTGTGTCATCCTTACACTTTCTGACACACTAAAGCCCATTGCAACAGTCACTGTGTCAATCCATCTGGTTGATGGTCTTCCTCTTTTGCTGACCCTCCACCTTTCCAAGCATGATGTCCCTCTCACAGGAATGGCCTCTCCTAGCAACATGCCCAAACTTTCTCCAGGACATACTTGTTTGTTCTTTTGGGAGTCCATGGGATATTCCGTACTCTTCTCCAATACCACAGCCAAAGGTGTCAATTCTTCTTCTGTCCTCCTTATTTATTGTCCAGCTCTCAGATGCACAAGTGATTGGAAAGGCTGTGGCCTGAATCAAATGCACTTTAGTCCTCAAACTGACTTCATTGTTCCTCAGTAATTTGGAGACATCTCTAATTGCAGACTTTCGCAATGCAGTATGTCTCCTGATTTCCTAACTGCTGGTACCTTACTCAAATCTTGACTGTTAATCCAGGTAAGATGAAAATTGCTGACAACTTCAATCTTTCCTCTATCATGATGTTTCCCTATTGGTCTAGTGATAAGAATTTTTGTTTTCTTGACTTGAGATGCAATCCATATTGATCTTCTGCAATAAGTGCTTCAATCCTCCTTACTTTCAGCAAGCAAGGCTGTATCATCTGCATAACACAGGTTATTGATGTGTCTTTCTGTGATCTTGATGCCACATTCTTCTTCATAGAGTCCAGGTTATCTAATAATTTGCTCCAGATACAGTTTGAATAGGGATGGAGAGATAATATAGCCCTAACACACTCCCTTCTAAATTTTAAATCATGTAGTATTTCCTGTTTGCACAACAGCCTCCTGCTCTAGGTGTAGCTTTCGCATGAGCACAATTAAGTGCTCTGGGATTCCCACTCTTCTCAATGTCACCTATAACTTGTAATGATCCTTACAGTCAGGTGACTTTCCATAGTCAATAAAGCATAAATAGACATTCTTCTGGTATTCTTTGCTTTCAGCCAGGATTTGGGTCAAATGCCAGCCATCTCTGGCCATACATGGCTAGGTGCAAATGGGCATTGGCCACAAACTGAGGAGTCACTTCTCCTTGCATTCCAGACTGGCTGCTCACTTCATTCAGCCTTAGCCCACATGGGGCCAAGTCAACTGGCCAAGGGTCGTCATGACTCCCTGCTCCTCAAGCCAGCAACCCTTTTTCACTTATCCATACATCTGTGCTGGAGATGAGGACATTGTTTCAGGATAGGGCAGGGTTAGAGCTAATGTACACAGGCTTGCTATGAGTTGAAGGCGACTCGATGTCACATAACAGTGACAACATACATCTGTGCATGCTAGGTGGACAGTGCCAAAGGAACAAACCCAAGTTCAGTCTGTCTCTTCATTGTTGTATGCCTCCTACTTTCATTCAAGTGAATCCAGGCAATTGATCCAAGTGAGAATACTCCCCAGCTCCCTTTAACAACTTCAAATCTGGAAGTGGGCTCATGGGCACCAACTTTATCCTGCCTCAGTAGCAAATAGGTTTGTTCCAGTTTAAAAAACCTGACTGTTAGCAGATTGCTGCTAACATGGGTGTTGAATGTGAATCCCAGGAAAAAGAAATTGTTGATATCTTCAATCTTTTCTTCATCTATCATGATGTTACCTATTGAGGATCTTTATTTTCTTGATGTTGAGGTGTAACCCATATAAAAAACTGCAGTCTTTGATCTTCTATAATAAGTGCTTCAAATCTTCTTCCCTTCTGTCAGCAAGGTTGTGTCATCTGCATAATGCAGATTATTGATGAGTCTTCCTACAATTCTGATGCCACATTATTCGTCATAGAGTCCTGCTTCTTAAATAATTTGTTCAGCATACAGATTGAATGAGTATAGGGGAAGGATACAGCCCTGACACACACCTTTCTTGATTTTAAATCATACAGTATTCCCCTCGCTCTGTTCAGAAAACAGCATCTTGGTCTTGTCTTTGCATTGTGGTGTCATAAAAACAGATCAGTGTCAGAGGAAGAACAAGGAGGGTGCTCCTCAGAGGCAAGGGTGAGGAGATTGTGTGTCACATGTGTTGGAGATGTTATCAGGAGTTCAGGTTCTGGAAAAGAATGGTATGATTGAAAAAGTGGAAGGTTGTGCTCTAAGCAGCTGTATGAAGGGAAAGACTAGAAGGAAGTTGACTATTAGGATAAGTGTTTACTGTTGTGTGTATGAGTGGATTCCAGAATATTCGGAATCATCCTGAATATCTTAACTGCTGCAACTAAGGAAGAGGGTTAGTGTAGGTTAGGGTCATGAGTCCCTATTTAGCCTCTCCCTCTTTTCATTTCCTAGCTCTATACTGCCCTCAGAGGTGAACGAGTTAAGCTTTAGCTCAGCTTCCAGTTTCCCACTCCAGCTCTTCCTGTGACTGCTGTCCCCTGCCCAAAAGAAAGCAATCCTATCAGCTGCTTCCTTAGTGCTGCTGCTGTCTTGCCCAGCAGGCAAGATGTCCTAAAATTCTCTGAAAAGTGCTGGAACTTTTCACGAAATCATAAAAATTTCACCTTTTTTCCCTCTTGTGAACCAAATATATTTTAGAGAAGAATTAATCTTTAGTTTCTTTAGTTGAACATTTTCTGACATTAAAAATCATGCAACTAGAGGGCTCTTTCTGCTTGTTTTGGTGTCTCCTACCATTCAGCTTTAGCGTCGTCAGAAGATACTACCTTGGTGCAGTAGAGCTGTCCTGGGACTATATGCAAAGTGATCTGCTTCAGGAGCTGCACCTGGATACAAGGTAAAGGCAGGAATGGGGCTCTTCAGGGGCCAGGATTCTGGGACTGACTCTTGTCACAAAGCTTCTGTTCTTTCTAATGAGATTCAGTATCTTTTACAATCTTTTTGGTAACTGGATTTATTTTATTTGAGATTTGGCTATTTATGTGCTTTGACCATTTTTCTTTGGGCTATCAAATCTTTGTTTAAATTATAAAAATCTTTTAATATTACAAGTATTAACACTTTATTATTTATATTGTAGTTTCCCACAAACTATTATGTATCTATTTACTTTGTTTATAATTGTTACCAAAAAAGTTTTTCATTTCTATAAAGTCAAACCTCTTTTTTTCTATGAGTTCAGAATTGCCAATGTTAGTTACAAATGTTTCCCTTATCTCTCTACCTCAAGGATACAGGTGTAGTCTCCTAGATTTTCTTGAAAGATTTTTACTATTTTGTTTCTGATGGTTATTTATATATAAGGAATAAAATGCACAAATGTCTGTCTTGGCAAGATAGATTTAACAACCCAAAGAAAAATGGTCAAAGCACGTAAATAGCCAACTTGACATTTGTCTGGGTTTGTTCCACCCAGATCAGTAGCTTATTGCCATAGCAGACATCATTTATAAATAGTATACCTTCCACCACTGATCTGAATGAACACATTAATCATATAACTTTCTCATGTACATTAATATGTATTTGTGGATTGATCATGCTATTTTACTGATCTGCCTTTCTTTTGCCATGCCAGTACAATATTGATTTGATTAGAGTGGCTGTATAGATTATAAAGAAATGTTAAGATTTTTTTCTAATAAAAATATAAACTTTGTTATTATTCAAATTGACATTTCACAGTTTAAAAAATATAATAAATTTTAGTACTTATTACATTTATCCCTAAGTATTTTAAACTTGTGTGTTGCTATTGTTAACACAAGACTTTTCTCCTATATTCATTTTTACATGCTTAACAACAAAATAGAGAAAGGATATCCATTTTTGTGTGTTCATTTTGAAGCTAGCTAGATTTTTAAATTATCTTATTAACGATTGTAATTTTATGGTTGGCTTTATGGATTGCTCTTGTTGTTAAGTGCCTTGAAGTTGAGTCGGACCCATAGCGACCCTATGAACAACAGATCTGAACCCTACCTGTCCTGCACCATCCTTATCATTTGCCGCAATCACTGTGTCAATTCATCTCATTGACGATCTTTTTCCCTTTTGCTGACACTTCCTTTCCAAGTAATAGCCTCTCTTAACAACATATTTAAATGGATAGTCGATCATATTATCAACAAAATGAGAGAATATTTAGCATTTTTGTCCAATGTTAATAGCCAGTTATTTTTCTCATTAAATTAACGAGAAAAGTAGAAAAAGTTAAAAATAATTGTGAAAGCTGCTAGCAATGATTTTGTAGATCACTACCCAACGGGGAAGGGACTGGAGAGCATTATCCTGAGTGAACTAACTCAATTTCATAAGGACAAATACTGTATAAAACCATTTTTGTAGAAATAGATAACTGATAAAATGTCTATGAAGATCTAAGGGGGGAGGAGGGAGCATGGGGTGAATATGAGTGGGACACAATTTGATGGGCATAGCAAGAGATGGGTAAAGAAAATGGGAAAGATATGGTATGAAAAACAATGTATACGAAATTTATAAGTAAAACAGTATAAAATTAAAAGTTTTAAAAAATGATTAAAGCAAACATCCCTGTTTATTCCATAATTTTTCTTGGAATAGGTATATATTTCTATTTATGATAATATTTCCTTTATTAATATACTTATATATTTTATTAGTAGATTGTTGTTGTTGTTAAGTGCAACCCTATGAACAAAAGACCTGAATGCTTGTATAACTTCCATTCTTTCTCCAGGTTCATAGGGTTTCCGGAGGCAAGCTATTTTGGAAGTGGATGCCACTCATGCTTCCAATTACTAGTCGATTAAGTTTTATAAGTAGTCTTTTGTTGATTTCTATTCCCATTTGCCATAGTACTTTACTGGAAATTACTTTTTGGCATTTGAAATCAAATGAATTTTCTTCTTTACAAGTTGATAGACAAATAGATTGTGATAATAGATTTCCTTACATCGAGCACCCTTTCATTCTTTAAATACAGTTTACTGATCATGTAATTTGAGTATTATTGGTCTGCTTGAGCTACTATTTTTTTTAAAACACCATTAACGTCATTAAAATAACAATTAAAATAGAATTTCATTTTAAAAATACCCATTAACTTCTATTATATTTGTGTTATAGATTGAATTATGTCTCTTAAAAATATGTATTGTAAATCCTAGTGGTGGTCCAAACCAACAAGCTATTTTAGGTGAGAAAAATGAAGCAGTCTATTTTCCTAAAGATTTACAGCTTTTTAAAAAAAAAAATATTTACAGCTTTGGAAACCCTGTGGGCACTTCTACTCTATCTCACAGTGGCACTAAGATTCAGAATCTAGGAAATAAAAAAAATAAATTTAAATTTAAAAAAATTGTCGATCAACATACAAAAATCAGTTGGATTTCTCTACAGTGACAAAGAAAATACAGAGCTTGACCTAAGAAAAACAATACCCTTCATAATAGTGAATCACAAGACTAAATACTTGGGAGTAAATCTAACCAGAAGCACAAAGGATCTATTCAAAGAAAATTACAAAACATTACTACAAGAAACAAAAAGAGACCTGGAGAAGTGGAAGA